CCTGAGGAAACTAGGACCAGTTAAGGAACAGAGATGGCCACAAGTATGAGAGTAGTGAGTTCTCCAAGGCCAAGGAGCAGGAGACAGGTTGATGGGTAGAATAGGGCAAGAAAGTCTTGAGGTCACCAGAATCAGGGCCACCAGGGGCAGTTTAAGAACGGCACGGGTGACACGGTTTACCAAACCTCCAGTGCCTGGACACTGATTCAGGACAGTTGAGGCTGGCGGGAAGGCCAGGTGAGTCACAGCTGTGGGGTGGGGAGTTTGACAGGCGCAGTGCATTCTGGAAGGAGGACTGGAAGGTATCGTACCACCTCTAATGAGCCCTAGGTCACCACTGGTTTGACCATGAGCTGGTGACAGGTGACACTCACGGTGCAGATGACGAAGGTGGCTTCTTGATGCACTCCTGTGACTGTTGGCCCGACCGTGACCTTCATCAGTGTCCAAGGAGCCCCACTGGTATCCAAGGACATGGCATGAGGGCTCAGTGGAGGCCAATTCTGAGTCAGCCAAAGGCAGGGACTCATCTTCCCTCACCCCTCAATCCTCCCAGACCCCCCACCTGCCCTGGCACTCACTCACCTCATTGTGCTTGGCGATGGCCTCATAGGTCCGCCTCAGGGACCAGAAAGCCTTGGCTTTCTCTCGCAGCACATGCTCCATGTTCTTACACTTGGCCTACACGTGAGGAAGAGAGACAAGTCAGAACTGGAGACCAGGCAGGGGGACTAACACAGCTGTTCACAGCTGGAGTTCCACCGTGGAGTCCAACCACAAGTCAGTGTGCTCCAAATGCTGTGGGCACAGCTGGAAGCTCGGGACAGCCTCAACCTTGAACTGCAGGTTCCCACCTCGGTCTTCTAACCCAGGACTGACGAAGATACCTGGTGCGGGTCGGGGGCAGGTTCAGGGGTTCCAGAGGTGGACCTCTGCCCCACTCGTCACAGGACAGCAAAGAACAGCCAGCTCCAGCTTATGGCTGATCCAGAACCCCAGAGCTGTGGGTATACTGTCAAGATGGCCTGGCCCCTGGAATTCCCTAAACCGGACATGTCTACAGCCACTCTGAACAGGGTTGACAATATAAATGGTTCTGGTCATTTCCCAAGAGGCAAAATATTCAATTGAGATCCCACCTAAACTTGTCTCCATACCCCACCTTCTCCTTTAATGGTGCTAGGGGCACAGGAAATACCCTCGTTACAAACACATACACTTTTTTATTTGTTCCATTTTCTGAGACAAGGTCTTACTCTAGAACACAGGTTGGCTCACTACGTAGCCAAGCTGTTCTCAAACTCATGGTGATCCTTCTGCCAAGTGGTGGGATCACAGGCACAAGCAATCCCACCAAACTAGTTCTCTGTACTTCACATTGTTTTTTAGTGTTTTGCTCTTGTGGGTACAGATGTATTACATAGCATGTGTGTGCCCATGTGCTCTTGAAGTATGGAGGGGTATGCTAGGTAGGTGTCCTTCTCAATCACTCCCTACCATAATCTGTCATTTATACACATATATTCCCAAACACAACCTGCTCAGTCTGTAATGTTACTTGTATATGTGCTTTTCATGGCTGAACATTTGGTACTGGATAACCAATTAGTGTGCTCTTCCCTGGGGAAGACTCTCTCTCCCCCTCTCAGCTTTGGTTGCCTATAGTTCTTTGTGTAGGGTTGAGGCTTTGTGGGCTTTCCCTCATCCATTCTGGAATGTCCATTGGCATGAACAAATGTCCTTGTTCAGCTCATGTTTAGGCAATCATGTTGGTGAGACTGCATGTGTGTTGTTTCTGACATTACCAGAAGACAAAGACTCACAGCAAACTCCCTGATCATCTGGTTCTTCTTCAGTGTCCCGAGCCTTGGTCCACCATAATTTCAAGATAAAGTCTCTCAGTGAATCTAGAGCTATGTGGTTACCCAGCAAATACTAAGGATTTCCCTATTTCTGCCCCCAAACAGAGGTAAGTTCAAGTAATCATGTGATCACACTTTTTATGTGGGTTCTGGGAATTTGAACTTGAGCCAAGCACTCAGCAAGTACTAACCCATCTCTCTAACATCCTGTTTTATTTTAAAAAATAAAAAAATAAAACTTTATTCTAAAACACACACACATATACACACACACCACACACGTTTAAGGAAAGCACTTAAAACACTTGCCTAGTACCAATGTTTTCTTTTTAAAGATTTTTATTGTATGTGTGTGTTTGTCTGTATGTATTTCTGTGGACCACATGTGTACCTGGTGGCCAGAGGTCAGAGAAATGTCAGATCCCTTGGAACTGGAGTTACAGACTGCTGTGAGCCACCATGTGGGTACTGGGAACCAGAACTCAGGTCCTCTCCAAAGGCAGCCAGTGTTCTTAACCACTGAGACATCTCTTCATCCATTCAAAGCTTTTAAACTTTTAATTGTTGTTGCTAAGCTGCAATTCTGAAGAACCACCTTTAAGTTTTAAGTTGGGTTCCTCCTGCCTTTGTATCCAAGGCCTATTAATTTCTCTCCATTTTTACCTTTACCTCTCTATATTCTATGAAAGTGTTACAGACTTCTTCAAAAAAATCTCATCAGTAACAATTCTAATACTCGTAGCTATGGTTACTGCCATTTCCTGAGCACTTAACAAACCCGAGTCTGCACAAGCTGGCCAACTGTGAAGTTTGCTCTTTCTCATCACTTGAGCTCCTATCAGGTAGGTCTATCATTAGTCCATTTTAGAGAAGGGACTCTGAAGTGCATAGGAGGACCCTGTTCTCTGCAAGTGTACAAACCTGAATTCAGATCCACAGCATCTACATATTAGCAGCCCCACTGCTGGGTCCCTGGAGCTCATTGGCCAGCTGACCTAGCTCTGCAGAACCAGGATGTCAAACTATAGCAGTGAGTCGGAAAGCCCCCAGGACCCTCTCTGTGAAATTCGGCAGCTAGATTAAGCTGCTGAATGGTGGTAGTTCTCACACAGGACAAGTTCGATGCCCAAACATCCCATTCCACCTGGGCCTGACTCATGGGTGAGGAAAATCAGAAAAGGTCTGGCCAAGGCAGTTCAGAGGCTTGGGATTTGGAGCGGGGTCACAACAGGTCTGCTGCTGAAAATGGAAGCCAGGGAGTGCTGACCAGTTGTCAGGAAACCCAGGTCCTGACCTAAGAGCCTCACTGAGTTCATGCCCATCTCTAAAGAGTGGCTGCATTTCTCCTTCAGGAAGTGGTAAGTGTCCCCGAGTTCCCATCTGCTTGACTAGTAAAATGTCTCCTACAGTCCTCCTCTGTGGACCTGGTTCTGTATTCTCAGGAGATGGATCTGCAAGTTACCTCTGAGTGTCTCAGCGTTTCCACTGAAAGATGACCCCAAACTAAGATAAACCTACACTGATTCACCTTACCCAGTACTGACACATGCCTTGTTTCCCACCAGCTCGGCTGACCGGGCACCAGCATATACCAGAGTCCCCATCTGACCAGAAATGTGAAGACAAACATGTTGGCCCACCCACATGTAGGCGGTCAAGGCCCAAGAAGTTTCATGACGAGGAGTTTCTGAGCTCCTCATCAGCGACACTGGATGGCTGGCTAACCAGGCTGTCACTCCAAAGAAAGTAATAGACTACATCTACCAGATCTTTGCCAAGGACAAAGATTTCATTTCAATAACTAAATCTCCCAGCTACATGTACATTTATTTTAGTTTTACTGAACAGCCTGTCAACTTCTTTTGGTTACTGTATGGCACAGGAAAGAGAACTTTGCCATATGCATGTAAGCAACAGCACATCTAAGCCATACTGCTAGAATATATTTTCCTTTCAGAAGAAATGTGGGGTTGAGGAGATGAAGTTTTGCGCAAGTAGGAGAACCTGAATTCTGATCCCCAGCACCCACACGTCTGTAATCCCAGCGTGAGATCCTGGAAGTTCAAGGGCAACAAACCCATTGAATCACTGAGCTCCAGATCCAGTGAGAGATCACTGCTCTCAGAATGTAATGGTAGAGAGATCACGGAAGGGTTGTCACCCCCCTCTGCCCACCCCCTTACCCACCAAACCTGAGGCCACTGTACTTGAGGCCTTTCTAAGGTCCCCTGGGCACTCAGGTTGGTCAGCTATCTTGTCAACCCCCCATCATGTCCCACTGTGTTAGGACAAAGTCCCAGCTCATTCACATCCCCCTCAGTGTCTTAGGAATGAATCTGCCCAGCAACAGTAAAAAAAAAAAAAAAAAAAAAAAAAAAAAAAAAAAAAAACACCACACACAGCCTTTATGACTTCTACAGGCTGTGGCCCACCAGCCTAACAGAACAGCCAAAGGGCAGGAGTCTTCGTTCTGCTCTATTTCAGAAGTGTTGGTTCCGTCCAAAACGGGAGTGGAGGGTGGAGGGTGGCGGAGCAGAGGTGGCCAAGAAACAAAGAAAGGGGTTACAAGACACAGTCCCCAAAGGCACATCCCACAAACTGCCTTCCTCCAACTAGGCCCCACCTCCACTTACCACCTACCCATGAGGCCATCAAATGATGAACCTGTGAAAGGACTCACTCACTGACAGGGAGGGTCAGGGTCTCATTCTTGGAACACCTTCAGACACTCAAGGAGCGGTACTCGACTGTCACAGTCAAGAGGAACCATCACACAGCTTCGGGGTTCTGTGGACATTACATTGTGAACACTTAAGAGGACCTAGCACAGAGCAAGTCAGTCCTCAGAGATCATCGTTGCTGGATTATCACCCAGTAGCCAAAGGGATCTTTCTTCTAAGCCCCCAATCTGGAGATTCCTGAGGGGTACCCAGCAGGGCCGCACTTAGTCTAGCAGTCTCCCCACTCTTACCTTGTGGTGGATCATCCTACGCTGCTTGCTCCCTCAACCCACACCCATGTCCAACCACACAGAACCATGCTCGTCTACCAACTGCCTCGCCTACTCCTCCGAAATGTCAACTTCCGGAAGTGGTGTTCTAGTTTGCTTTCTGTTGCTATGACAACCAAAAGTAACAGGGAAGAAAGAGTTTGTTCCAGCTTAACAGGTCACGCTCCATCACCAAGAGATATCAGGGCAGGAAATCAAGCAAGAACTAACGCAGAAACTGTGGAAGTCGTGGAGGTACGCTGCCTTCTGACCCACTCCAAGGCTCATGTTGTTCAGTTCACTTTCTCATGCCACCCAGGACCACAGTGTGTGTGTGTGGGGAGGGGGAGGGCTCTCCCACACCAATCCCCAATCTAGACAATCTCTCAGATTGGCTGATCCCTTCTGGGCAATCCCTCCATTGAAATTCCCTCAGATAACCCTAGGTTGTGTCAAGATGAAATTAACTAGGACAGAGAGGCTGTCTTATGAACCCAAGCAGCCCTAACACCTAGAACAGAGTGCGTTTATTTCACAAATGCCATCTCTGTTAGCGCACAGCATGTGCTCTCCTGGGATCTTTCAGAGCAGCCCATTCCCTGCTCTTAGACTCATGCTGAGCACCCACTGGCCCCACACCACCATTCTAAAATGAAGGATAAAAACTTGGGCCTCAGCCGGGCAGTGGTGGCGCATGTCTTTAATCCCAGCACTTGGGAGGTAGAGCCAGGTGGATCTCTGTGAGTTTGAGGCCAGCCTGGTCTACAGAGCAAGATCCAGGACAGGCTCCAAAGCTACACAGAGAAACCCTGTCTCAGAAAAACAACAAAAAAACAAAACCCAGAAACAAAAACAAAAAAACAAAACTTGGGCCTCCTGGCTTCCCCTGGTGTCCAATGCTTTCTCTCTTCTAGAACCTTCTATATGCTGTACCATCTACTTGCAAACACCTCCCTTAGCCTTCTTCACCTGGTTAATGCTTCTACATCCTTCAGATATTTGCAATAAACTCCCGGAGACTGCGAATTATTAACTTGGATCTCATCTTCTCCATGTTCCTGAGACCACCTGGTACAAGAACAAAAGGCTGTCTCCAGGCCCATGTTCCCTGTCCCCTGGCTCAGGGGTCTTCAGTTGAGGCTTGACTCCACTCATTCTGGGGACACCACCCATGCTAAGCTGTACCTTTGCCAGCACCGGGGAAACCAAATCAGGACCCGAGCCTATGGACTGCCCACTTCAGCTACGCCAAATAGAGAACTAGTACTTCTGCTGGTGGAAGTGGGGGAAAAAAAAAAAAAGGAACCACTGCTGAGCAAATATAATGGCTGGAGCTGCATGCATGTAGATGGCATCCATCTGCCCCCCCTCCGCTCTGTACGGAACTGCAATCAAGTGTGCTGATCCTAATAAAGACATCTTAGAAAGTGTGTGTGGAAAGGGTGTCTGAAGCTCAGGCACTGTGGGCTCTTGCCTCCTCTTTACTATGGTAGGCTTCCTGGCAGCTAACATGGACCCTTCCATGTGTAGATCTGACTCATGTATTAGTAGCTGATGAAACAAATTTTGGCTGTTTCACAGTCTGTCGGTAGCTTTGAAAAATAAAAACAAGCCGCTGCTAGAGTAAAATGGACATTTCAGAAACCCTTTTAAAAAGTCAGTTGATACATCAGGATTAAGTGCTTTGGGAAAGCAATGGAACATGTCTTTCTAAGCGATTAAGTCAAATGTTTTCGAAAACGTCTGACCCTGTTTACTTAAAAATATATTTTTTTCCCCTGTTTTAGAACAAAGACTTCTCACTGGGCCTAGAGTCACAGGCCTGTAAACTCAGGCACTCGCAAGGCTGAGGCAAGCAGAGAGCAGGTTCGAGGCCAGCCTGGCTAATTTAAGAGCTTGGCTCAACACCAAAACCAGGCTGGGGGTTTGCAGCTGCGTGGCAAAGTACTTGCTTGGAATGTATTAAGCCCGAGTTTGATCTCCTGCAGTACCGACACCCATCCTTCCCCATGCTAGTTTTGCTGTGTCAGTTGCTCTTGGTTTAATTATAGCCACTGGAACTCCACAGATACTTGGATGCTAAGAGTAATCGGAGTAAGGCAGCAGGCCAGCGCCACAGCTATGGCTCTGAAAGCCGTGGGACGCCGCTGGGCTGGGGAAATCTCAAGGCCCCCAAACCCGAGCTAGGGCCTGGCCTTCTCCACTACTAAACTGAACATGCCAAGCCCGAATGTCTGAGGGCGGTACCACTCAGTCATTGTTCAGAGGGGTCCCGACGGCGGGCAAGAAGATGGCTAGGCCCGGAGGCGGGGGCGGGGGGAGTGGGAGTGGGACAGTCCTGGGGTCCCCAAGGTGGTCTGGGGCGATGCTTACCCGGAAGTCCTGAGCAGTGTCCTTGATGGGCTGCACGCGGTGCTCCTGGTGCCGGGCGTCGGCCTGGCAGGCGCAGCACAGCAGTTCCTTGTCCTCCAGGCAGAAGAGCGTAATCGGGGCGCGATGCGCGCGGCAGGGGCGCGGGGACCGGCGGCCGGTCCAGCGCGCGCCCTCCGCCTCCTCCCGCAGCAGGGTCTCCACCAGGTTGTTGAGCGTGTGGTTGGTGCGCAGCTCCCCAGGATTCGCTCGTTCCTTGCACACCGGGCACAAGGGCGTCGACTGCACCTCCCAGCAGCTGGTCACGCACCGGCGGCAGAAGTTGTGGCCGCAGCGCAGAGTCACCGCGTCGCGGAACGGGTCGTAGCACACAGCGCACAGCAGCTCCTCTTTAAAGGAGAGCGAAGGCCCCGGGGACACAGAAGGGCCCGGCTCCATCGCAGGGGCAGCCCCGGTCGAAGTCACCACCGCCGCCTTCATGCTTAGATGGCGGGCGTTGTCCTTGCTCGACAAAGTCTGGAGAGCGACCGCGGCTGCAACCTATCGGGCGGGCTTCGAGGGGGCTGGCCCACCCACTTCCGGTCTGTGCGGGGTCTCCCGGAAGAGGTGTGGTCCGCGGTCTCTGCGGGCTCCCGGGCTATCCACGTAGGCACCGAGCGGAAGGATCTTGGTGCCAACCGCACTGAGGGGCTTCCGTTGTGAAATGAGAAGGGAAGCGGAGGGTTGCCATCATTAAGTAATTCCCAAAGTCTCAGACTCCCACCATAGATGGACGTGGACGTTCGTGTTTTACCTCGTTAGGTCCCCGAACCCGGGTCCCAAACAGTGGCTGGGTCTTGCAACCCTGGGAATGCTTTCTCCAACCCTCACATGGCTCGATCCCTGACTTTATAGGGTCGGGCTTACTGCAATCTCGGGGTGGCGGTAAGACCTGACAAGTTGCGATTCCGGGCTTGTGGTTGGATAAACGAGTCCCGTACGTAAAATGGTGGTCTCCGTAAAAAGGGAGCGTGAGAGGAATAAATATGGAAGCATGCTTATGGCATCAGGCAAACCTCCAAGCCAGGATAAGAAAGTCGTGATGAATATGCTTGTAATCTCAGCGCTTGGGAGACTGAAGCAGGAGGATCAGGAGCTCGCGGCCAGTCTGGGTTGCCCAGGGACATTTTTTTCTTCTTCTATTCTGGAGTCTTGCCAAGAATGACAGCTGAAAACTACCCATTCCGCCTCAGTGTGATTATTTTGTATTGCGCTTCAGTGTGAATATTTTGTAGCCTTCCGCCATGGACTATCTCTCCCGGGATGGGCTGCCATTCCTCTGTTGAAAGATAACTCCTGTGTGTAGGAAGTGCCCCTGCATGTTTTGAGGACAGAGACCGACTGCCTTTTTCTGACAGTCTTTTCAAGGGCGTTTCTAAACATCCTTCAATAGCGGTGAGAGGTAGAAACAATGTCATGCCAGATGAAGGTCTAGCCAACTACTTACTCCCTGTTACCAAAGATTCCAGTTCGCTGAACTTAAGGTTTCTCTCCTGTAGCGTGTGTCACACAGGAAACAGGCCCAGTGAGGAAGACCGATGGCGTTAATTATCTCTACTAGTGATTATGGTCCTTGCTGGGACCCTGGAGTCAGTCACATGCAAGTAGCGTTGAAATATCAGATCCTTTACAGCACTTACTCATATCTTTCCACACTCTGCAATAGTCCTTATCTCCTGGGATTGACACCATTAATTCATACTGTCTTCAGAGGGTGTCTGGTGTGAACCCACAATGTTCTGTAGCCAGTCAGTCACCCAGGGCCAGTTTCAGTTTGTTCCTGTCCTGTTCTGTTTCAGGATTGGGATGGAACTCAGGAGGATTTAGGTGAGTGCATTTCACCATTAAGCCCTTGATTTGCTAAAACAAGATCTCACTTTTCTATGTGACTTGTAATCCTTCCACCTTAACCTCTGAGTGCTAAGATTATATATGACTTTCGTTTCCCAGGAGCTTCCTAAATGCTAAGACTCCTGAGCCCATCTCAACTCCCCTCACCCATCCCACCCCGTGTGTGTGTGTGTGTGTGTGTGTGTGTGTGTGTGTGTGTGTGTGTGTATGTGTGTGTGTGAGAGAGAGAGAGAGACAGACAGACAGACAGACAGACATTGGACCTACACTTTTTTGTATGTTTCGTATATTCCCAGAATGGGGTGGTTCTCAAGCACACCCAAGTTTGAGAGCCACTGATCTATAGCTACTCACCAAGCTTTCAGAGGCTCAAGATTAACTTTAGAAGCAATACCTAAAAACACCAGAAATGTAGCTGATAGCCCTGTGGGACAAGCGGCTCCCTGGAAAATCTTGTCTCTTTCAGTGATTTTGTTATATTATTTATTTTGGGGCAAGGGGCCACAGTGTTTGTGTAGCGTTCAGAGGACAACGTGTGGGAGCTGGTTATCTCCTTCCACTATGTGGCTCCAAGACTCACACTCAGGTTGTTAGTCATAGTGGCAAGTAAGTGCCTTTACCTGCTGAGCCAGCTCACCAGAGCTCAGTGTGTCTCCCTCCCTCCCTGCCTCCCTCCCTCCCTCCCTCCCTCCCTTCATGTCCCTAAAGATAGAGATTTTTATTTTAAATATTTAAATATTTCCTATTTATTTTCTTATGGCCTATGCTGGATTTATAGGTAAATGTAATAGAAAGGTTTTCTTAATCTTAGTAACGTTGGACAATTACAAGACTTTTTTATTATTTTATTTCATATAGTATTGGTGTTTTGCCTCCTGTATATCTGTGCATCCACCGCCTGTGTGTCTCGTGCCTAGAAGAGGCCATCAGATCCCCTGGAACTAGAGCTACACATGGTTGTGAGCTGTCACGTAGGTGCTGGGAATCAAGCTCAGGTCATCTGGAAGAGCAGCCAGTGTTCTTAACCCAGTAAGCAATCTCCTCAGCCCCCCAAACATTACCTGGGAACCAAAGGTAGTGGCCTCTCATTACCCACAGGAGAGACTCAAACCCACAATCCCTGGCTTAGGAAGCTAGTGCCTTAACCATTAGGCCACTGGGGTGGAACCTCATTGACTTCCATCATGTTCTCTTATCCATGAGTGCCAGTTGTGCGGACCATTTGTACTACTCTCCCTGAGTTCCATTTGTCCTCGTCTAATTTTCTTTGGTTTGTTGTATGTTCCCCACTCTGACTCTGAGGAGATCCACAAATCAAAACAGAGAAGAGAAAGTAAAGATTGGAACTCATGATGTAGGCCTGAATTCACTGTAGACTGAGCTGGCCTGGAACTAACAGATACCCACCTGTGTCTACCTCCCAGGAGCTGGGATTAAAAGCACACACTGTCACATCAAACTAACATGGGTGATTCAACTGCAACACAGAAGTGGACATGAAGCCCAGGAGGTCTGTAGTCCTTTTGGAATTCTGGAAGGGCCCAGTCCAGCTGTGGAGTGAGCTGGGGTGTGATCTGGAGCACATCATTTTGCTTTCCTGCCTTCCTTTTTCTCTGCTGTATTAAGAAATGTGGAACTGGTTGCTTCAAGTTCCTTCCAGGCCCAACACTCTGGAATTGTCTTATTCTTTGCATAATTTCAGGAAGAGAAAGGTTCATGTTTCTCTAGAGATCAAGAAAAATAAGTCTTGCTAACTATAAGCCAATCTGGCACCAATTTTGGCCATTGCTTTCATTAGAGAGGGTGTTATTCTGAGGCACTTGCTGGATTTCATATTCCCCATTCTAACTACGGTACTGGCATAGTTCCCTCTGTTTCTGTCTTCTCCCAGCACACACCAAACAGGCCCTGAAGAGTCCCAAGCACCTCGGCATCATGTAAAACATAATTTTTTAAATGTTGCACTAGATAAACATTTACTAGGAACTGAGACAAGAGCCGGTATTCGGGTCTGTTTCCTATTCCTGTTGCTAGAACCACAGACATTTTATAAAGAATAGAGGTCTGGAGGCAG